TCTGAGAAACCCCCAAATCGCGCTTCTCCACAAAGAGCCCAGCGTAGCCATCGTGAGCAGTGAAAGGGCCCACCTGCCGTGAAGGCACGATTCACCGCTCCCCGCATACACCTCTCAGCGATTCAATGAATTTTCATGATTTGGTAGTTGTAAATCGATTAAGAATCGATTATTTTTCTTGTTTTTATTGCATTGTTCACAGGGTTTAATGTTCTCACTAGTAAACTGAAAGTAGTACGTTACCGGTAACTACAGCCATACCTTGAGGTGTCTTTGATGTCGTTTGCTGAGTGCAGAAATGTTTCCTGGCTTACCTACATGGATAGATCCAGCGGAATCAAGCTCTAGTTATTTGTATTGTTTCTTCTCGTTCATTCACGCAGTTTTGTTTGCTCATTTTGCCTAAATGTAACATTTTCAAACACGGCCAGCCACACTCTCGTCCCCATGGCTTGTGTATCAAGGACCACAAAGCCTATCAAGTCAATGTAGGGGTGGTCTGGCTGAGACTATGATTGGAGTTGCCAGAGTCCGATTAAATCACTTGGCTGGTAATTCCAGTAGGCATCTCACAGTTGGGCTTTTGCAGCCGGGTTTAACATCCCCCTCGACCCAAGTGTGACTCCAGGCCCATCACCAGGCCCACCATCAGCCCTGTGATCAAATCCATCACTCGGACCCATACCAGTAACCACCGAAGTACATGGCTGGGAACGGGGCCCGGGTTGGTTGGCAGTGCAGCGCCGGGCACCGACCACCCCACCCAATCACGACCGCAAAATCACGAGGACCGCACCACACAGACAATTACAGCCAGAGGACGCATTCTCCGGATATCTCGACCCACGCGCGCAGCCACAGAGGCGGTCTGCACCGTGGAGGATGAAGCTATCGCTGGCATTTAGGTTGGGCAGGATTAGTTGAAGCACATATCGGCAGCTGAATATCAATTGGAGCTATTTGCGTCTCCATTATAATGTGACAAAGAAAAGTCAGGGTGACCCAAAGAAGTTGTTCATTGCTCATCTATGTCAGGTCCTAAGCGACATTGCTATGACGGACAACAGTCTATCTGTAAGGCAAACACCGATGGCTTCCAATATAATTTCTTAACTGCAAGAGTAGTAATGTGACAGATGCCTTCGTACTATATGCAGGAGCAAGCCATTGAAGCCAGCATGTGAGCACTGCCCATGATATTCTCCCCACGAGTCTTGTAAAGCATCATATAATATATGTTTGTATCGTTGTCAGTTATTTTTATATTATTGGGGGTTGCAATTCGATTCAAGAATCCATTTTTTTAAACAAATTTTAACGTTCTCATTCGTAATGTTTCTTGTTTGTTCTGTCTTAATTCATGTCATTAGCCTCATTGTAACATTAGCTACGTGGCCTTCTGGGAGTGCATCTTATCAGCCGCATTGGTTCAATACATACAAGGAAACTGGGCTAAATTTGACACGGTGGTGTATCATTAACAGTCAGGTTTCCTTGAAACTATGATGGTGAAATGCCCAATGTTTATAGGTAAAGACTCTTTCTGTAAGTAATGGGTCCTTTGCGAACAGAGTTTGGCCTTTTTATGGTACAAAGCAAGGCTTTACACGACAAATGTTGATGATGATGATGATGATAGTGTAACTTGGTCTACGCCAATGGCTATAATTACAGGTTTTCAGTCGTGTAGCTAAAGTTCCCACGGACAAATACTCGTGTGAATTTCAACCAGACTAACACGGGTATCTCTGCCATCAGCAGACCAAACTCCCTGCAAGCATTCCAGCTTTATTGACTTACTATTAATTAACATGCATTTATTGACTTATTTACTAAGGAATGTTTATGCAGAGGTAGCTCTCAGCCTCAAACGACCACAGGCCAGGCCGACCGTCCCGGACTTGTACAGGGGCGCAGAGGCCACACACAGCCATACACACTTTCTACGCCGGCTGAGAGGTTAAGGGTCAGATAATTTTCCCCAAAAGCCCCAATAGCGGCTGGCTGTCTTTCTCACACAAACAACGCTGCATTCCCATCCAAGTGAGGATATTAGTCACCCTAACGCACACGCTGAGCTAACATTGGCAACAACAAAAAATCGCAATGCAAATGAATAAATTGAGATAATGGGTTATTCCCAGTTCAATTGACATTTTTGGTCAGCATTTTTCCCCCAAATTTGTTTTCCTCCGCACTTTTTTTCGCCTCGTGACACGAACTCAGCCGCTACAAAACTGCTCTCTCCCAAGGCACACATAAGCCTCCCCTTTCTCTCAGCCAGCGCTGATAAGCTGGGAAAGACCAAAAGATAAACAAACTATTTTTTTTAGTTCAGCACTACCAACTTTTACTCTCAGAACACAGATTTTTTTTTCTCTCTGAGTGTTCCTGCTGGAAAAAAAGCAGCCGGTCTGAAATTACATTCCAAGTGCACACAATCCTAGAAGTACATTTTTCCCAGAATAAAAAAATGAACGAGGAATTAATCTAATCCTTTAACCAATTGAGCTTTACATATGGTTGCAATAACTTTGTTGTTAGTTTAGGACGAAGAATAGAATTCCAACAGCAATTTAATTGAATTTTTTCGGAACAATGACGTCCGTTTTAAAAGCCCTAACGGAGATTTCACGCGCTCTGTTCATTGATTTTCCCAAAACGAGAAAGATGTGCTTTTGGGAGTCCCATCTATTCCCTACTTACGTCGCTGCAATATGAAGATATAACCTATATAAAATAACTTCAAGCCGATTTAAAATGAACCATATTTAAGATGTTTTTCAAAGCGTAAAATTAACAAGGAAGAAATGTTATTCATATGCTTAAGATTCTGTTAATCTTTTCAACATGCATTTGTGCTCCGATTACGGTATGCTATTTGCGATAATAAGGGTACCTTCTGAGTCACAAAACGTGATGAGATCACACGTGACACCATGGGGGTAAACTCGTATTGCGTGCAATATCCCGGTCCTGGCTGAAAAGGCTTACCCATTTCATGCTGGTATTTATCCCCAAGTGTTTGATGACCCTTTGATTCATATGCCCAGTTTTCTATAGGGTTACATCACTCATAGCAACAAAACATGAAACTAAAATGTAACTTTAATTGGTTTATCTTTAAGAGTTTTCATTTCCCCACGTTGCAGACAAAAGAACGGAGAGAGAGATAATTAATGAATACCTTTAGCCTTAGTTGGAAAGAGTAAAAAACAAGGGCAGTTAGTCCATTCTCCGAATAACCTCCGACAGTGTTTATCTGCATCGAGGGTACTGAGGCATTGCTCCTAATTTCCACATTATTATGGCAGTAACCCGCCAAGTGGTACCTATTTTATTCAGGAAAAAGGGATGATGGGCCGAGTTGACTTCAAATAAGGTTTAAAATTTGAATCTCACGAAAGGTTGTGAAAAACTTAAATACTCGACAAGAATTCACGAACGTCATTCAATTATGATGATGTTGAATGGAAAATAGTAACATGTTATAGGATGACATTGAGTTTCGATATGCAGTGAAGAACTTTGTGAGATGCAGAGTGAATTATTGTGCTTCTTGGGTATGAGTGCACTGAACAGTTCTTCAACTTGGTGTTCCACTGAAGATGTTCACCACATTTTCAATGTGGGGTGACCTTGAGTCTCCCTGTGTGCATAAGGTATCCATAGCTTCCATGTGATTTTTCATGTGATATTAGCTTTAAATCGATACTAAAGCATCCATCACCTAAAACAAAACTCAAACTATAGAAAGGCCGTCACGACTCGAAACAAACATACTGCTCTGAACCAATGCTACAGAAACATGCATGTGTACCTTAAAATAAGCCAATAAATTATTCCGGGAGCAAGTGCTGATAATTACCAAAACTTCAAACAGAAAGAGAGAGGCCGCTTGGTCGAGCGTGGGCCGCTGGCTGAGTTGGCGCCGAGTCTGGGAGCGTTGGGGTGGGGCCACGATCGGGCGACCACGGAGCCGTGGCTCCACATGGGATGGACGGGCGCCCATTCTCCCCCCCCCCCGTCCCTGGCCTCCACAGGAAATGGCCGGAATTTTTCTGTGCTTAGAGCAGCACGGTGAAACGGCGCGGTGAGACGCTGTGGTGGCTTCTTTGCCACGCGCCTCCCGCTTAGGCAGGCCAAAGACTTTCACAGCATCCACACTTCAAATCCATCGGCCGTTAAGCACGGATGTACGCGCGCTTGCAAATTAGCGGCTTTTTCCAATATCAGGAAAGGCAATACATGCCGGGTGGTTCAGGGGTAAGACAGCTGAGCAAGGCACCACTGTGATCCTAATGTTTGAACTTGGGTTGAACCTGCTCGTGATTACATTGGGTTCTCAATTCGAGTGGACAGATGGTCTCAGTCTGTCCACCAATGACTACATCTAAGTTCCAGCTCTCAGGACTGCATTTTTTGATTTTCACTCCCATGTACCAAACACTGCCCCAAGTGTGACTAAACAATATCATCTGAAGCCATCGCAAATGTAGTTCTGTGATATCTCCTTCCGCGGGCCAGTCTCTAACACACGGGTTTAAACACTGTTCTGCAAGAATTCTAAAATAATGATTCGTCTCATGACATGGTGACGACAGCAAGATTGGCATAATAGTGGGGATAGATGAAAAAATAAAATATTCTCTCAATATAATTCGCATTTTACAGACCAAAAATAGTTGTTTCTTTGTACAATGCAAATACTCATTGTTACCAAAACTCATTGGTTTCGGGAACACGGGGTAAACTTAAACCACGGCCGAGTTTGATTAAAATGCAGCTGCAATGCTTATCCCGCCAAGCTCTCTTTCGCTCCAGACAAGCCTGTCTCGACGTAATTGAATTACATAGTTCAGACAACAATGAAAAACTGGCTTTCGTGTTACGAAGTTTCCTTCAGGTCAGCAGTACCTGAAGGCGACAAACAACAGGGGACACGATACACCGAAGTGGCAACTCTCCCACGTACACGAGGCTCCGCCACTGACCCTTACCCCTCTCCTGACGACCGCCGCCGTACGCTGCTCGTTGGGCCCAGGTTCCAGCTGCACCGGCTCCTCCACGATGCGGAGGGCACTGCCGTTTGTGTTGCTCTCGGCATCCGAATCGCCGCTGCTCCACACCACCACCGCCGCCGCCGGCGGAGGAGGAGACTGAGCAGGGAGACGAGGGCCGCCACCGACAACATCTGATTCCCGTGCGCTTTCGATTCCGCCGGGGCATTCGGCACCCCCACAATGCGCACCAGCCAGGGCAGCGTCCGTCATGAAATCGTCAGAGTAGCCGGTCATGTCGGGCAGGGGTCTCTCCTTTCTAACGGTGGCATCTGATTTGGTGGGAGCTGGGGGGGAGCCGGAGCCGTCGTCGAGAGGGCGAGGAGTGGCCGCCGCCTTACTGCGGTCATTGCGCCTCCTCTTGCGCGCCACCACACCTGTGTGGACGATCTCGGCCTCATCGCCCAGCTCCGCAAGGCTCAGGGTCTCTGCGATGTGATCACCTTCATCCATGCCAGCCTCGTGGTGCCCGCCGAAAATGCGTTCCGGGCCCTCGCTCCTCGCCTCCTCAGGGATAGTGTCCAAGCAGAAGAGCTGGCTCACATTGGGTGCCAGGGACGAGCCTGGCTCATCCGTTTGCAGCAAAGCACCACTGGCCTCACCCTGAGCCCCCGAATCAATAGAGGTTTCTGTCATACATGCCGAAGGTGTCGGACTGGTGACGTCAAATTCAGCTGTGACGTCTGGGTCCTTCTCAGTGTCGATGGAAGGCAGAATGACTCCACCCATGCTGACGGGCAGGCTACAGCTATCTTTGTCCCCTTCCTCGTCTGGGCTTGTCGTCCCGGCCACACTTTTGGCGATCAACTCGGAAGCCTGTCCATCTGTTGTGATCAAACCCGCGCCTTCGGTTGGGAGGTCAGGGCCTCTATGGTTACCGTGTAGCTCATGCCGCCCATTGGCAGTCACAGCCACATTGTCAGCGTTTCCCGCTAAATCCGGCACCTCGTCGACGGGAATTGCAGTGTCGTCTGGCTGATCATGACATTTTTGCCAGCTGGGATGGCCGCTCTGCCGTGATGTTGTGGAGGCACTGAGAGAACAGTAGTTGCCCTTGAGTGGGGCCTCTCCGCCAGGGCCCATGGGGGCTTCACCTCCTGCCGACGCTACCGAAACCACCGCCGTGCCTCTGTCGTTCAGCAAATCCTCGCCGCCTTGGAAATCCAGGGGCCATGCAGCATTGGGAAGGCGTCCAGACCGAGCGGCCGGCGTATCGACGCGCGCCCGCGTGAACTCCGCTCCGTTGGTGGGCCCAACAACATCACTGCCGCTCAAGATGGCCGCGACCTTGGCGAGGTCGGCGCGTGCCGCCCCGCCCGCGTAGCCCCGGCAGCAAGGTGCATCGTGGGAGCTGAACATGTGGTCACCGGGCCTCATGGCACGAGCTGCACGCCTGATGGAAGTGACGGGACGGCTCTGCTCACTCCTCTTAGCCATGAGCGGCCATCGCAATGGTCGCACCGATGCCTTCTCCTCTTCCTCCTCTCGCCGGCAGAAGCTGCCCTCCCTCCCTCCTCCTCCTCCTCGTGCGAGTCTCTATAGCAATCCGCGAGCGAGCATCTGCAAAAGATTTTACAGAAACAGCCACTGGAAAAGTAGCAAACGTTGCAAAAAAAATACATTTGAATATGAGCTGTGTTTTACGATGACATGCCACAATGAGTATTGCAAGTCGTGAGAAAACTGATTTATGTAGCAGTGGAGAATTACTTTAACATTTCTTTTTTTCCATTCTGTAAACAACTTTACATCTGTAATACATACAAATTATAATGAAACATTGACTTTTTAACTCCAACCTTAAAAGATATAATTTACGTGTAATCTATATTTCACACACATATTAATATGCATATTTACATGTATTACACTGTTTGGCCAAAATGTTAATTGTCCCAAATATAATCCGTGAAATCAGTTGCATTATTTCCCAAAGAGGGGCTGGGTAATGGATTACTCATGGACAACGCAATGAACCATAAGTAAAAGATAACTTTTCACATAAACCACCTTATTTTCTGCCGTGGACAGTCTCACTTCAATAGTAACACTGATGTTGTCACTTACGAAAATGACAACAAAAACAAATTAATCTCCTGACCGTTGAGATATGCACACTAAATCCCAACGTCGAGACTCCCATCCGCCAGGGTTATTTTGTAAATGCCATTGCAAAATGCCTGCCTTCCAAAAGCCCCCATTTCCCTATGTTTAAGTGCATCAACTCTTTTTTTTGGACAGGATACAGTTTGCATGAATTGAGCGCATGGAGGCTCCCTGCACATAAAATTTCCAAGAACCCAGGTGCTCGTCTCTTTACTCGCCCCCATATTGAATGTTTTCCGGCACCGCAAAGAAAATTTATTTCCTTTCGTTTGGCAGGTCAATCCCTTGCACGAGCAAACAACAACACCCTCTCCCAAAATCCTTAGCACCGCAAAAGGCAATCGAGACTCGGTATTGCCAAAAAAATAAATGCTTGTCGCCGTTTTTTCCTCTTTCTCATTTTGTTTGTCCAAATTCCCTGTGTCCGCCCGTGTCCGGGAACACATCAGCGATACTCACAAAGGGGGGGGGGGCGGGTAGAAGGGGGATGGAAGTGGGGGGGGTGCAGTTGCCGATCGGAATGAAGCACAGCGCCGATGCGGGATGAGGAGTGTGGGAAAACATCGGCGGAAGAGGAGAATGCAGGGGCGAGTGGCCTCACGGGGGAACACTGTGGGGGCCCTCGGCAGAAAAATCAAAAACTCCCATCCAGAAAGGCTCATCAATCCCAGATGTGCGTGGGGCAGTGCTAGGGGGGTGGGGTTAAAGAGAGGGGAGGTGGAGTGGCGGGGGGGATGAGTGGCGAGGGCCCAGAGAGGAGCACTGGGGGAAGATCGCGGGAGTTGAATCGTGGTACGTGCACGGGTGGCCGCGTGGCCGCTCGGTCGTGGCACGCTCGCCCCCGAGGCCCTCCGTGTGGGCGTCGATGGTTGGGTTCTCACTGCCACGCAGTTCAAGTTCTGCGGGTGTAACAAATCTGATCGAACGCTACTTTGAGAATTCAGTAATGTTATTTGCAAGAGCAGAGTACTTGGATGCAGGTATTGAAATATACATCGTATATTTTCTTGGTTCTTTCGGTAAAGTCACGTAGAAGGGAAGTAATAAAATAATAAAAATAAAACATAATAAAATAATTCTCACGACGTTTCGGCCACAACGCAGACTCTGCCTTCTCGACAGACCGGTTCTCCACCTTAAGACGGCTGCTTGCATTGTGGCCGAAACGTCGTGAGAATTATTTTATTATGTTTTATTTTTATTATTTTATTATTTTCCTTCTACGTGACTTTACCGAAAGAACCAAGAAGATGAATCCCTGCAGTCACGAAAGCTTTAAATTAAAAAAATACATCGTATATTTTAAATACGACACGCAACTAAATAATCATCGACCATCCTCCATTGATTGTTAGGCGTAGGACTCCTCAAGCCATCGCCCTTCCACACAGTCTCGTGACTAGCCTGTAGCGTAGGCATGTCGAACGTGAGCGTTGTACGACCGGACTTCAACACGCCGGTCAGTGCAGGTTTGAAGGGAGCACGTTTAGTCTCGCCTCTTGCCGAGCATCCGACTGCCGTAGGGGTGCCTCTACCCGGTATCGAGGCGTAAAAGCTCCCCTCTTCTTCTTCACCACGTCAAGGCAGTTGCCCCCACTGAGGAGGACCCAACGAAATAAAACACAAAAATTAACAAACTGTCTCCATGTAGCCACAATCCCCGTGGAAATAAAAAGCAGTTGACAACCCTCTGCGTGCCTCCCAGCTGGTTAAATAAAGGGCCGCGCTTGATAGAATCGTGCATCTGAAATGCATTTGGGTATCAGCGTTTGGCAGCAGAAGGAGAGTGAGCAGGCAGAGAGAGAGAGAGAGTAAAAATGTTTCTGGGGAGTGAGTGGGAGGCAGGGTTTGAATATCGGGAGTTGGAGAAGAGAGCGGAGCTCTGGTCTGAACAAAAAAATATATAAAAAATGAAACTTAAAAAAACCCGTCATGTGAGCGCAGGCCGGTGTGACGCACGTGTGAGCTGGGGTTTTTTTTAGGCTTTTTTTGTGCCACCGCTGCCTGCGTGGACATCTGCACGTGGACCATTACCTCACCCGTGCCAGACGCTGCGCAGAAAAGCCACGCACGTTGCTTTAATGAGCGACTACTGCGCGTACGTGGATGGTGGGTGTATTACACGTAGAACTTGCTCGTTTGGGCAAAGCGTGGTACGGATGCTGAACCTTGTATCATCACTGAGGACGGACGAGAGAGAGAGGACCCCTGGCAAAGGAACAGTGAGATTGCCTCCATGCTTTGGTTTTGCTTTTCATTTGTAATGTTTTTCTCGAAACATTCTTAAACTAACTCAAAACAAGGTCGATCAAAAATGTTAAATAAGCTTTAAGAGAGTCGTTGCCAAGTTGGGGCCATTTAAAGCTCTTGTGCAGTACCCACAATGCCCAGGGGATTCCGATCCCTCTCTCAACACAAATAATTGCATTCGTTCAAAATGTGGTGGTAATTTTGAGATTTTTTTTTGTTCAACAACACAAAGTCATCCCTCTATCTAATCACTTCCAACAGTTTTTCTTTCATGCTATCTCTTTATGTCATACGTTCTCTTCGCTGTAATAATTCAGCGTCAGCTTATCGCTAACTTTTACAGGCTGGCACTTGAGCCAGGTGGTTTCGGCTAAGCTCAGGATAACGACGGCAAATGAACGATCGTGTGTTTGAAGGAGGTCCCGCGTCTTCAAAGACACCGATCTCCATCAGCAGATTCCACGCTTGCACGCACTCACAATCTGCTGCGTTATTAATTTCACCTTCACCGCACGTCGCTGCGTGGGGAGAGTCACAGCCCCGTTGGCGAGAGAGCCAAGCGGCAGAAGTTGTTTTCGAACGACGGGCCCTTTCTGCCGTCTCTCACGACCGGCAAAAGCCAAACCCCAGCCAACAACACGTGGAGTTTTCATTTCTCCATTCTTTCCTCCTCCGCATCCGTTTTTTTTCCCTTCCTTGCCGTCTCCTTTGCTGGAGGTGGGTGGGGGTTGGGAGGCGAGTGATGGTTCTTCTCTGGTTGGATTTTTTTGTTGTCAATGTCTGGTGTCTGGAAAAGCGAGACAGTGTTGATGTCTCGCCGCACCACTCCGTGGTCGCCTTTTAGCGTTGGAGGCGGCCGCCTAACGCCGCTGCGGTTGAGGCAGCGGAGACTTGGCGCATTTCACCGCTTTTCGTTGGCCATTGGTATTTCTTTTTTTAACGCTCCCACCTCTTTTTTTTGCACACGCGTGTCTACATGCATGACGGCGGTTGCCTACCCAGCGCCACGTGCCCTTGCTTAGGTTTCCAATATCTCACGAGGTCAGGCACATTCCGGACGATTTGGTCACATGTGTGTACGGTCACGTGTACATTCATGCATATGTGACAGTCATGCGTGTATGACTGCTCATATGTGAATGCCTGCTGGAAAGCAAAGTTAAAGACCGAGTGACATCATTTGAAGGTGTAAGAGTACGCTGTTGTGTCACCAGGAATTTTGCCCTTTCATATGTGACACTACCAAATATTCTAGATTTGATCATATTAACCTGTTAATTGAGGTTAATATTATATAACATTCTCACTGAATTAAAGTAACACATTTAAGTGAGGTATACATAAATGGGGGAGTGGAAGTGCCATGGTTAGGGCTTTGGGCTACTGACCTGGTGGCCTGAGTTTGATTCCTTTCCAAGCGATATCTGAACAAAGCTGCCTTCCGCTCCTTGCTGCTGTATCACCAGCCCTGACCACCCAAGTACAATTAACAAAAATCCCTCAATACATTCGCCATTAACACTGTGGCCTTAAAAGAACAAAATATTTAACAGTGTACGTTTCAGGCAATGGCTCTAATTCATAGCACGTGTTTTTGTTAACTGTGCTTGTCCATGACTGCCAGTGCAGGATCACCATATAATTGTGCTCAATTTTGATGACCATGGTAAATTATGAGGATATAATCCCCTCGCCCGACACGGGGAGGCCTATCATCCAGCAGTGGATTAATAAGGGGGGGGGGGGGGGCTATGAATTTGCGAGCGATGGCTGCGTGTCGCTATAACAGACACGCCGCAAATTCACCCTTCCCTGCGCAGTGCGGCCACGCAACAATCCACGACACGAGCACACAGCGGCGGCGCCGGCCGAGGCCACAGCAAACCACGCCTGGAGCAGCAGCAACAGCAGCCTAGAGCAGCAGCAACAGCAGCCTGGAGGAGCAGCAGCAGCGTAATTTGGCTCCGGTCGTTCTTAAGCGCAAAAACGTGGACGGCTCTGCTTTATTTCCCTGCGCAGCTGCTGCGGCTATTAAATCGAAATTAACGAGTCTCAGAAGAAAATTATTTTGGAGCAGGATCCGGGATTGAGACACAACCGGTAGGCATCTCACACTCCACATCGCCCCTTGGTATTACACATGGAATAGTCCACGGCCAAAAGCAGCTCATGCACACACGAAGGATGTAGTGGAATGTTCCAAT